CATAGTAAAATGGTGTCCCTTATACCAAATAGCAAAATCAACCACTTGTCTTGCTTGTCACACCTTTCCCACATTTAACCCTTTATTCTATTGTAAAATGCATACAACTATTACAATAGAATCCATCCTGCTCCATCCTGAATATGACACCCCATTCAAATATTTAATTATGTCTATCATGTCACCCCTTAACTGTTTTCTTTTCTAGGTTAAACTGCTCCTCATTGGACTTGGTGGTTTCCCCATTTTGGTTGCCCTCCTTTGGACATGTTCCAAGTGAGATCTGACCAAAGAAGAGAAAAGTCTTTCTATTCCTTCCCTTGGTGTAGATGCTATAGTTTTGTTGTGGCAGCCTAGAGCTGCACTGGCTTGTGTCTAAACTAGCTGTATCATTTTGCAGCTTAAATTCTGCATTAAATTCCAGCAAGAGCTGAGTTAGGTAGAAGGTCTGATTGTCGGGTGGCTTCTTGCTCTCTGTGTTTTCCACCAGTGGTCTACTATGAACCTTGCAGGCTGAAAGGCATGCTTTGAGTCATTCCTTGTGATACTGGAATGCGAGAATCAATGAGCCGTTCTCACTTTTGTTCCATTGGGTGCAAGCCATCAGTGCTGCGCTCCTCTCAAGATATAATGCCATGAAAAATGTTCCCTCTCTTCCCTATCTGTTGAATACTAGAGCATATTCCTTTCTTTAATCCTCTTATCTTAAACATATTTCTAGCCCGCATTGAAAAATCTAATTAATCAGAACATTTTCTTTGTTGCAGAGGCTTGAAGCTCTGCATAACTGAGCAGGTCCTTGTCCTTTTAATATCCTTTATTGTATCAGCAAGCCATAGGATGGATATTGAGGCTCCTGGCCATATTCTGACTCGGAGATGACTCTTGGATTCATTTTATTTTTTAAAGAGATATTTACGAACATAAGAAGAGCTCTGCTAGACCAAGTAACAGTGCAAATAATATCCTTTTCATACAGTGGGCAGCCAGTCACCTATGGGCAATGCACCAGCTGGATGTACTTGCCATCTCTTGCTTCTCAGCAACTGACATACACAATGTTGTTGTTGTTGTGTGCCTGCAAGTCATTTCCAATGTATGGCAATCCTAACAGAAAATTTTATTGGCAAATTTATTCATTGCCCTCTTCTTAGGACAGTGGCATTTGTCCAGGATCATCCAGTGGTGTTTTTTTTTTTTTTTTT